GTAAGTGCATTATCACTCGTCGAATTACCTTAGCATGTTTTAATAACTCGGTAATCAACCCGTTACCTTAGTGTAGGTAAGTGGATCGCTACTCTACAAGTCGCCTAAGCATGGTAATTGGAATCATAAGTTACAAGCGGCATTTCTGGCGCAACGAAAGTTTGTCCTCGTGAATTTTATAAGCAAGTGTCAACGAATTTAAAAGTTTGTTCTCGAATTTCCTCCTATTTTCTTTATTTACAGTTGAACATTATAAAACGAATGTGTTAAATTTTAACAATACACACACGCACAAATGCAAACGCAAGCACACACGCACACACGCACACACGCACACACGCACACACAACACACACACATATTATAATATTTTATATATATATATATATATATATATATATATATATATATATATATATATATATACCCGTCGTGCCGAATAGGTAAAACTGGTCAGTTACTGAGACCTCGTTGAAAATTAAGTCCTTTCTAAAATTTTCTCTTATACGTTTAAAGATATATTTTTTTATTTATGTTAATGTAAAAATTAAAAAAAAATGCACCAAAAGAACCTTAGAAAACTTGCCAAATCTTATTATAAAAAGGGCAATTTAATTTAGTCTAATTCAACTAAATATATTTTAGATAACTTTACAAAAATTTAAAAATACACAAACACAATGAAATATATTTTTCTCGTTAGGTTCAGAATGATTTTTGTGAAATTATTGCATACACAATTTTTCGCTTGCCTTATTCGGCAAGAAAAGCGTTGCTATTTAAGCCAAAATAGCAAGTTTTACCTATTCGTTACGACACACACACACACACACACACACACACACACACACACACACACATATATATATATATAATATATATATATATATATATATATATATATATATATATATATATATATATATATATGTATATATGTAAAGCTTTTTTATTCTATATTTTAGAGAATAAAATAACCTTGTTTCTTTACGTATTGGTGGGAGTAATAATAGATACGGAGTGGTGAAGCTGCTGGTGGTTCTGGGGGACTGTGGAGGGTGATGGTGGTAAAGGGGAGGGATGAGGTGGTTGTGACGGGTTAGGTGATTGTTGACTGGCTAGGTGGTTGGTGACGGGCTAGGTGGTTGTGACGGGCTAGGTGGCTGGTGACTGGCTAGGTGGTTGGTGACGGGCTAGGTGGTTGTGACGGGCTAGGTGGCTGGTGATTGGATAGGTGGTTGGTGATGGGCTAGGTGGTTGGTGACGGGCTAATTGATTGTGACGGGCTAGGTGGTGCTGACGGGCTAGGTGGTTGGTGACGGGCTAGGTGGTTGGTGACGGGCTAGGTGATTGTGACGGGCTAGGTGGTTGGTGACGGGCTAGGTGGTTGGTGACGGGCTAGGTGGTTGGTGACGGGCTCGGTGGCTGGTGACGGGCTAGGTGATTGTGACGGGCTAGGTGGTGCTGACGGGCTAGGTGGTTGGTGACGGGCTAGGTGGTTGGTGACGGGCTAGGTGGTTGGTGACGGGCTAGGTGATTGGTGACGGGCTAGGTGGTTGGTGACGGGCTAGGTGGTTGGTGACGGGCTAGGTGGTGCTGACGGGCTAGGTGGTTGGTGACGGGCTAGGTGGTTGGTGACGGGCTAGGTGGTTGGTGACGGGCTAGGTGGTTGTGTGACGGGCTAGTTGTGGTTGGTGACGGGTAGGTGGTGTGACGGGCTAGGTGGTTGGTGACGGGCTAGGTGGTTGGTGACGGGCTAGGTGGTTGGTGACGGGCTAGGTGGTGTGGTGACGGGCTAGGTGGTAGTGGTGATGGGAGGTAGTTGTAGTGAGGGTAGGTGAGTTGGTGGTGGTGGTTGGGTGAGGGTAGGTGGTTGGTGAGGGTAGGTGGTTGGTGGGGCTAGGTGGTGGTGGTAGTGGTAGTGGTAGTGGTGGTGAGGGTAGGGTGGTTGGTGGGGGTAGGGTGGTTGGTGGTAGGGTAGGAGTGGTGTGGTGAGGGGTAGTGTGGTTGGTGTAGGGGTAGGGTGGTATGGTGAGGGTAGGTGGGTGGTGAGGGTAGGTGTGGTGTGGTGAGTGGTAGGGTGGTAGGGTGCGGTAGGTGGTAGTGGATGGTCAGTGGTAGGGTGGTAGTGGTGGTAGTGGTAGTGGGGTGTGGGTAGTGGTGGTAGGGTGGTAGGGTGGTGGTGTGGTGTGTGGTGGGTGGTGTGGTGTAGTGGGGTAGTGGTGGTAGTGAGGGGTGGGTAGGGTTGGTGGTAGTGGTGGTATGGTGAGGTAGGTGGTTGGTAGTGGTGGTAGGTGGTAGTGGTTGGTAGGTGGTGGTAGTGGTGGTAGGGTGGTTGTGGTGGTAGTGGTAGTGGGGTAGTGGTGGTGGTAGGGTGGTAGTGGTGGTAGTGGTGGTAGTGGATGTGGTAGTGTGTGGTAGTGGTGGTATGGTGGTTGGTAGTGGTGTTTGGTAGGTGGTTGTGTGGTAGTGGTGGTAGTGAAGTGGTGGTAGTGGTGGTAGTGGTGGTATGGTGGTGGGTAGTGGTGGTAGTGGGTGGTAGTGGTGGTAGTGTGGTAGTGGTGGTAGTGGTGGTTGGTAGTGGTGGTAGTGGTGGTAGTGGTGGTAGTGGTGGTAGTGGTGTAGTGGTGGGTAGTGTGGTGGTTAGTGGTGGTAGTGTAGTGGTGGTAGTGGTGAGTGGTGGTAGTGGTGGTAGTGTGGTAGTGGTGGTTATGGTGAGGTGGTAGTGGGTGGTAGTGGTGGTAGTGGTGGTAGTGGTAGTGGTAGTGGTGGGTAGTGGTGGTAGTGGTGGTAGTGGTGGTAGTGGTGGTAGTGTGGTAGTGGTGGTAGTGGTGGTAGTGGTGTAGTGGTGGTAGTGGTGGTAGTGGTGGTAGTGGTAGTGGGTGGGTGTGGTGGTAGGTGGTAGTGGTGGTAGTGGTAGTGGTGGTAGTGGTGGTAGTGGTAGTAATGATAGTGGAAGTAATGATAATGTTTCTAGGGGTATGAGTGTTGGCAGTAGTGACAGTGGCAGTGGTGATAGTGATAGCGGTTTTAGTGGTAGTGGTGGTAATGGTAATATTGGTAACGGTGGTAATGATAATGGTGATAGTAGTTTTACGGATCATAGGGAAGTTAATGATAGTGGTGGTAGTGGTGATAGTGGTAGTATTGATGATAGATGGTGGAAAATGGTGGTTACTGGTGATAGTGGTGGTAGAGGTGGTGGCAGTGATGGTAGTAAAACTAATGATAGTGGTGTTAGTGGTGAGAGTAGTGGTATGGTGGTAGAGGAAGTAATGACTGTGGTGGTAGTGGAAGTAATGATACAGGTGGTAGTGGTGTTAGTGGTGGTAGTGGTGGTGATAGTGGTAATGGTGATAGTGGTGGTGGTAGTGGTGATTAGTGGTGGTATTGGTAGTTGGTAGTAGTGTGATAGTGGTGGTAGTGGAAGCAATGATAGGTGGTAGTGGTAGTAGTGTAGTGGTGATAGTGGTAATGGTGATAGTGGTGGTGGTAGTGGTGATAGTGGTGGTATTGGTAGTTGTGGTAGTAGTGATAGTGGTGGTATTAGTGGTGGGAGTGATGGTGGTAGTGGTGGTGGTAATGGTGATAGTGGTGGTGGAAGTAATGATAGTGGTGGTGGTGATGTAGTGTTGGTAGTGATGCAGTGGTAATAGTGATGGTAGTGGTGGTGGTAGTGGTGGTAGAGTGTGTGAAATGGTGTAGTGTGGTGGTAGTGTAGTGTGGTAGTGGAATGTAATGAGAGTGGTGGTGGCGGTATTAGTGATAGTGGTGGTAGTGGTGATGGTGGTGGTGTGTGGTGGTATGATAGTGGTGGTAGTAGTAGTGGTGGTGGTGATGGTAGTGGTGGCAGTGGTGGTAGTGGTGATAGCGATAGTGGTGGTAGCGGTGGTAGTGGTAGTGGTGGTAGTGGTAGTGGTGGTGGTAGTAGTGGTGGTTGTGGTGGTAGTGGTGATGGTGGTAGTGGTAGTGGTGATGGTGGTAGTGGTGGTAGCTAGAGCTGGCTCACAAGAGGTGCTCTCGCCTAAAGTTTTGCTTTAATTAAATTGATGATTTTTTTTCTAACACATCGACCATTTCCCATCGAGGCAGGTGACCCATAAAGACAGAAAAACCCCCCAAAAAAGAAAAAAAAAATCTTCAACATTCAACACTTCCACCATCACTCGTACATAATCAATGTCTTTGCAGAGGCTCTCAGATACGACAGTTTAGACATCCTTTCAAACTGCCAATATCCCAACCCCTTCCTTTAAAGTGCAGGCATTGTACTTCCCATTCGGTTTCCCCGAATCCCTTCACAAAATATTACCCTGCTCATACTCCAACAGCTCGTCAGGTCCCAAAAACCATTCGCCTCCATTCACTCCTATCTAAGACGCTCATGCACGCTTGCTGGAAGTCCCAGCCCCTGGTCCATAAAACCTCCTTTGCCCCCTCCCTCCAACCTTTCGAGGACGACCCCTACCTCGCCTTCTTTCCCCTACAGATTTATAAGCTCTCCAAGTTATTCTACTTTGTTCCATTCTCTCTAAACGACCAAACCACCTCAACAACCCCAATTAAGCCCCCTGGTTAGTACTTTTAGTAACTCCACACCTCCTTCTAATTTCCACACTACGAATTCTCTGCATAATATTTACACCACACATTGCCCTTAGACACGACATCTTCACTGCCTCCAGCCGCCTGCTCGCTGCAGCATTTACAACCCAAGCTTCACACACATAAGAGTGTTGGTACCACTATACTTTCGTACATTCCTTTCTTTGCCTCCATGCATAACATTTTTTTGTCTCCACAGATACCTCAATGCACCACTCACCTTTTTTCCTTCATCCATTCTATGATTAACCCTATCCTTCATAAGCCCATCCGCTGACACGTCAACTCCCAAATATCTGAAAACATTCACGTCTTCCATACTCCCTCCCTCCAAAGTGATATCCAATTTTTTTTTATCTTAATCGTTTGATACTCTCATCACCTTACTCTTATCT